GCCTACCCACCAGAGTCGATCATCTCTCGCCATTTGGCGAACTTGCAGACCTTGTGCAGGACACGCGGCGGCGAAAGTCGTGTCGGTCTTGGCACACAAACCCCCTTTTGTCGACCCGCATGCTTCCTGCCTCGCTGCCAGTGTGTGGGTGTCCAGGACCGCAGCACATGGGAAGTCCCGGCATAATCGGCAGCCCCAGCCTCGAAGGAGCCAGTCATGCTGGGACTGTTGCTCGCCCACTCCCTCCGCTGCTTGACGGCGTCCCAGCAACAGAGAGGACCTAAACTTGGAACCCGTTCGCTGGTATTTACAAAGCACGCATGTCGTGGTGCCTTTGTGCGACACTGGCCGTCGCCCTGCCCAACTGCCCCTCCCCCCCTTGGTGCCGTCGTGACTGGACGAGGAGCGCTGTCCTCTCGACAACCTGACCATCACTGACGGCTTGTCAAATTGGGGTTCTGTGGGTGGTATCTCTCTGTTCTCTGAATAATACCCAGGAGACTCGATTTTCAGCGGGGTGGACCACGACAACGGGAGTTTCTCTGGCAACAACCATCATGGCCCCTCCTCGTTGGGTGACGGTGATACAGATATACCTGACTACATCCAACGTCTCTCATATCACCTTCCACTACCCCAGTATACATGTCGCAGCCAATCTTGAGGAGCAAGCGGTCAAGGAAGTCCCCATCCCTAGAGCCCCGTCAAACTGAACTCGCCCATCACGGCGACAAGCGCGGTGCGGTACATTTCTCCCACTACTCTCCCCAACGGCGAATGAGGCCGGCCGGCGGGTACAGACGCTGTGTAACCGTGGCCACAGTCTCTGATGGCGGTTGGTAGGGGCAGCTCCTCCTGACTGCCACAGGACCGCGGACAGGAATACCTACTTAGGTACCCAGGCAAGGATCATAGAGAGGGTGTCTGCGTGTCTGATAGAGATGGAGAGAAGAACTCACACGGGGTTTGTATGGGCATCGTTAAAGAGGAAAATATAGCAAGGGAGATGACCAGGTAGCAAAAGGCAACCACAGGCCATACCATGCGGCCGTCCGGATGTCTCCGACGTAGCAGTAGCAGCATGTCATGTCTTGGATGTGTGTACGGCGTTGTGTCGTGTCAGGGTCTCTGATGGATCGATCGGGTTTCAGAGTTTGGCTACCTACCTGGGTTTGGAAAGGGGACGAGGCATGGGTTCTTGCATGTTGGATGGGCTCAACCGGACGGGGTATTGGTTTGATGATGGTGTTGATGTCTGGTTGGGGGGAGGAGTGACTTTATGGAGAAACAAACATACAACCCCCCCTGCACGACGTACGGCGACCTTTTCCCCTTGACAAAATAAACAAAACGACATTCCCCTTTTCCGCAAACTAGAGGGGAGATTCCATTTCACCCAACACCGAATGAGGAAAAAATAGAGAGGCAAAAGGAGAGCGAAGGGTGGCCGTTCAGCATTCCACTATCGGCCGCTGAAGCCAACTTGACCACCCACGGGGGATAAAGTTCCGCATACAGATGTCAGTTACTCCGCTGATGGTTTCTTGCCGCAGTGGGCAATATATATGGAAGTTCCTCCCACTGTAGTGGCTTGGGCCTGTTCAATAAAGCAGGAGAAGGGCAGGAGCATCTCTTTATCACCCTCCCTCCCTTTAGCTATAACAGCCATCGGGTTAACTGAGTACGCCCGGTAGGGAAATAAACAAAACAATACTGCTTTTCTCCCCCGCCTCCAAAAGGGAGATGGACACTTACATCCTACAACAGGATGACAAAAAGAGAAGCAAAAGATAGAAGCGAAGGACGGCCGGTCCGCGTTCCACTATCGGCCGCTGAACCCAAATTGACCATCCACGGGTGTGTCAGGTCCCGCATTCAGATGTCAGCTACTCCGCTGGTGGTTTCTTGCCCTTGTTGGTATATATAAGCTCCTCCCGTCATTGTCGCTGACAACTCGGATGGGATGCTGCAGGGTAGGAACATATTCCTACCGACAGGCAGTATGCTCTTTCTAATCTCAAGATGAAGATGAACATACCTCCCACTGCCAAGTGGCAAAAAGAACAAAAAGAGGAAGAAGTGAAGGGTGGCCGGTCCGCAAACCACTGTCGGCCGCTGAACCCAAATCGACCACCTGCGGAGCATCAGCTTCCGCATTCATGTCGGCTACTTCACTAGCTGCTTGGGTCCTGGTTGGCATATATGAGCTCCTCCCAATGTTCTCGTTCGATGCTGGGGCAGGAACATCTTCCTGTCACGTCAGTCCGGCTGGGTAGGACCAGGAGCAACCTGTGTGTGGGAAGGTTCGCTGGCGACACCCCCTCCGGCTTTGGGGAGACGTGGTCAAGAGTTGTGGTTTCCCTGGGGACGGGGTCGGTCGGGGTTCTTCGTCACGAAAGATGTCACGAAGCATGATGGGTGTCCGGTGGCATGCACTTGATGTGAAGTCAGAGATGGGCGTATATTCTCCAAGAAAAGGGAACGCGAAGGCTCTCACCACTTGTGGAAAACAATATCCAGTTCATACCCACAAGGATGTACAAATTCGTGATGACGCGGTTGACAAGACCATCGCCGTCTCCTTTGTTTTGATGTGAATTCAGGGGTATCAAGCCTCAACTGGGCACGGCACGAACAACCTGTATGGGAGACTCTGTGCTGGAAGAAATACCAAACTGTTCATGCAGAGGAGAGCACGCGACCAAAATGTGTACCGTAACCGAGAACTGAACCCAAGGGAGAGAACAAAAAGAAACGAAGAGTGGCTGGTCAGACATACCACTTTCGGCGCTGACTACAAATTGACCACTTGCCCAGGATGCAAAATCGAGCAAATTTAAGCTACTTCGCTGAATGTTACAGTTGCAAGAGGCATACATGTATAGGACAGCCTATGAGGAGACTGCCATGGACAAGTCACTGGAAGGAAGCCAGATCCCATTCACGGGGGGGGGAATGGGAAAGAGAGAGGCAAGATTCAGGGGCAAGGTCGGCTCACCCGTCCCAGGGGATACATAGGAGACAGCAAAGCAAAGTCGTACTCTAATGCCAAAGACTGACCTGATTCATTCCCAGTGTCAGGAAGCAGAATGCACTGACAAGAAAAGTCAACATTTCTCCGTGTCAAAAAATGAAGCGAAGGTGGCTGGTCGACTACACCACTGTCAGCGCCGACTACAAATAAACCACCCACCCAGTATCAATTCGAGATGCCCTTGCGCTACTATGTTCGCTGACCGGTGCTGTGGAATGGGTGTACATATGCCTGCGAGAGGAGTTTGTTCGTGGAAAGGACCTTGCCAGCGATCCATCCCACCTGCACAAAGACGAAAGGAGCGAGGCGCCAGGGGCAAGATTTGTCTCACCCTCGTCCCAAGATGTAAACAAGAACGAGAGAGCAAATGTCTTGGAAATAAAAACCCGGAGTCCTAGTGTCCTGAAAGCTCGCCAGCTCCAAGGGAAGAGCACGCCCTCCCCCTATGAGAGAAAAAAAGATGACACTCACCAGGAGGTGAACTTGCGTTGTTGTCCAAAAATGAAGCGAAGAGCAGCTGGCCAGACATACCACTGTCGGCGCTGACTACAAATAAACCACTGGCCCGTCTATCAGTTGGAGCACTACTAAGCTACTTCGCTGACAGCTGCTGCAGCAAAAGGGATATATCATCCCACAAAACAAGTGCCCAAACCAAGGTCACTGCAGATGGAAAAGACGTTAAAGGAGATCCCATCTCCTGCATCATCAGTACAATGGGGGGGAAAGGCACGAGTGCCTCCCTCTCTCCCGTGTAAAAAAAAAACAAAGTCTAGGGGCCGAACGCTTGTCGTCCAAAAATGAAGCGAAGAGCAGCTGGCCAGACATACCACTATCGGCGCTGACTCCAAATCAGCCACTAGCCCGCGGCAAACTCGAGCACCATGAAGCTACTTCGCTGACAGGTGCGGGAGCAAAAGGTGTACATCAACACACAAGACGAGGTCCCTTATGGAAAGGGCGTTGAAGAAAATCCCATCCCACCGGAACAACGGGATAAGGAAAGACCGGAATCTCCCTCGCCCCCTCTTATGCAAAAAAACAACAACAGTACCCAGGGCCGAACTCCAGTCGTCCAAAAATAAAGCAAAGAGTGGCCGGCCGGTTTGTCCACTATCGGTGCCGACTCCAAATCAACCACTAGTCCGGTGGTCAAATTCAGACCATTGAAGCTACTTCGCTGACGGACGCTTCCCGAACAGATGTATATCAAACAAGCGCGCTTTGTCAAGACTGGCCAGCAAACCACCTCTCGCCGACATGGGAGAGAGAAGGAGGTCAAGCTCCATATCAGGTGTGATCGCTCTTTTCTCAATGTTGGAAACAAGAAACACCGAAAGCAGGTGCATCATGTCCGCAGAGCTGTGTTCGAGTGGGAGAACCTTTTTCGTCCAATGAAATGGACACCACGAGAGAACTCCCTTCAGGTCAAAGTCTACCCTCAGCTGCCAAAAGAGGAAAAAGGAAAAAGCCAAAAGGGAGCGAAGAGAGGCTGGTCGGTCAAACCAATGTCGGCGCCGACTCCAAATACACCACTTGCCCGGGATGAGGTCGAGCATTCCTGAGCTACTTCGCTGCTTGGGTGTCTCGTCCGAGTGACCTATGGATGGATGTCGGTCGACAGGGAGGGACAGAAGGAAGTTGTCATCTCAGGTCTACTTGTTTGCTCCATTTGGACATGGGAAGTCTCTACCGATGAGCTCTGTCTGTTGCGGGTGAAAGTCGCCGCCTAGAGCATCGGGTGGCGAGTCAATGCCGAGTTGAGCGTCGAGGAGGAGGGAGGTGCAATGTTTGGATTCCGGATTCAGGGGTCGAGGGGCATGAAAACAAACCCACCATCCTTCCACGGCAACAACGCCAGGACAGATGCAACAAATCCCCATTGCCTCGATCAACCATGGCAAAAAGAAACCGGAAACCCTCCCCCCTGAGAAGACAAACACCAGCAGGGGCAAAAAGGTATATAAGCCCCACGTGGGACTCGAACCCACAACCTCACGATCTCTCGATCCACTTCCCTTTTCCATTCGGAATGGTCAGGTTTTTTGAAGAGTTCTTGTAGAAGTCGTATGCGCTAGCCAATTGCGCCAGTCGGGCGGGCAACTGATGTGTTTTCGTCGTGTCAAAAAAGCTGGCCAAGTGTCTCCACAAACACCACATTGGTGGAAGTGCAAAGATGCGATCAACACCACCGCAGATCGGAAAGGACAGCAGAAGAGATGGAGAATGAAAAGAAGCGTTCCTTCTCTCCTGGCACTGGCTTCATTTGCGAAAATGGGAACGACGACGGCAAAAAGACAACCAGATGCCAGACATCACCAGCTCACCACCACCACCAAACACGGCATCAAAAAGTATACCAAGCCCAACGTGGGAGTCGAACCCACAACCTCACGATCACTCAATCATCCTGATGTCATCCTCTTGACGAGGTGCAGGAATTCTCGTAGAAGTCGTATGCGCTAGCCAATTGCGCCAGCCGGGCAACTGATGTTGGATGGAGAAGCGCAGCGGAAAATTTACTCGTCTCGGGCAGATGCCCTGACACGTCCGCGAATTGACCGGACGCCGGGTGGCCATTCAGAGAGCGACTCGAGGGTGTGGGTCAGGGGGCATCGAGGTTGTGGACGCTGGGATGTCCATGCTGGATGGTGGACGGGGTAATCGGGGGGAGGTATGTACCTAGGTTTTGGAGGGAGGGATGGTGTTAAGATACCGCGCGCTTGATAGCAAAGAGTAGGTGTTTTCAGTAAGGGTTGCCTCGCTGGTGCATTGAGAGAGGCATCCGTTGTGTGGGGTGAAGGCAAAAGCTCCCATTGTAAATCGGGCATCCTTGCCTAATGGTCGTTACGTACGAGTATATCGATCGGATAACTCGAAGATGATCAAGCATCTATATATGCGACCACAACAACTGACATCAGCCTTGCATTGAAGGGACGACCCTCACATCGTCAACCTTGCCGCCGGGTCAGCACTAGCCCATGGAACTGAGCACCAGGCATGAGAAACGCTATCATAAGCCGGGCCTCCTACCTGAAAGCCACAGGGAAATCAACTTGAAACCATGCAATGAGCGCCTCCAATTCCTGTCCCCAAAAAGTATGATACAAAGGTATGATTCCTTCGCTGCCTCCTCTCCCCGCCTCGTCCGCACCGAATAAACACAGGGAGCATCGCCAGATCAGAGCCCCCCCCCCCTCGCCCAGACCGCATCGACCGCATCAACCTCACCACCCCCACCACCCAAACCAAGTCCCAACCGCCCCCCTCAAAGCGCCAGGTTATAAGCATACTCATCCTCCATATTCTGGCTCACCCACAGCACCACCGTACTCAGCCCGACCAGCGCATTCGCCACCACGTTCTCGACCCCCATCCCCATGGCCGGCCACGCCACCCCGGGCACCACGAACCCCAGCACGAAAACCGTGACCCCGCCCGCCATGCCGCCCGCCAGCGCCGCGAACCCGAGGAACAGCACCACGCGCGCCTTCCACGCCACCCCGCTGCCCGAGTAGCTGAAGCTGTCGCCCGACAGCCGCGTCTTCTCGACGCTGTTGATGATGAGCATCCCCAGCGAGCTGAAGATGAAGGGCAGCCAGTCGACAAACGTCACGTGCACGTCCGACGCGTTGCGCGCCGACTTGGACCACACGGCCGAGTCGAGGAGGATGTAAAACGCCGCCGAGAACTGCGCGCGCGCGCCAGAGGTTAGTTGCCTGTAGGGGATGTTGGGGGGAGCGGGCGCGGGGGGGAATGTACCAGACCGCCCGCGGCGTAGACGCCTGCGTTGCGCGCCCAGACGCTGTTCAGCCACTGGGGCATGCGGAACTTGAAGAGGCGCTCTTCCGTGTCCATTGTGAAGGGAGGGGGGGTGTTCGGGGGCGGTGGTTGGGGAGCGGCGGGTGCGCCTGGTTGACTGTTTGTAGGTGATCGGTCGGTCGGGAGGTTCGGAGATGAGGGGGGCCGAAGAAGGTCGTAGGAGCTAGAGACCGTTGCAATAGGTTACAGGGCGCGCGATATCGAGGGTCGTCGGGATGGTTCGTCGTCGTCGTCGTCGTCGTGGTTGCGGGAGCTGGAAAGGGGAATGGTGGTTGCGGATGACGCTGGGTGCACCCGCGTGGACCGGGGTCTGCCTGGTGGAGACGCCAGCCGCGGCGGGCTTGGCGCGATAAAGAGACACGTGACACGTATCCGCCCAAGCATCAAAGTTCAACATGTCAAGTTGAGCACATGGAATACGAACGGTTGATGGGGTCAGTAGAAGATGAAATGGACATGCTGACTTGATCTATGTATTCCACTACTACTAGAACTACAAGGCTAAGTATGGAGCCACCGAAAACGCCTCCTTCCGCTGCCTCTCCTAGACCCAACGGATGACACCAGGCACCACACTCAGTCTTGACGCCAGTGAGCAGGATAATGTCAGTAACCGAACGAAGAATAGCTTCGGCATGTCATGGAACAGCCTCCGAGGTCAAACTCTCGCCAAATCTTCGAGCCAACCGAACCACCAACGACGGCCAGGTAGCCTCTCCTCACACCTTGAACCCGTTCCTTGCAGTGACCTCTGTCGAATTAAATAATAGACAAATCGTATTGGTACAATAATCGAACGCCTGCCCTTCCTGCTCAGTCATCGGCACCGACGCGCCGCCTCCTCACCACGTCCGAGTCACGTGGTGCTTGATGCGCCGAGTCGTCATCAGTGATGCTGATGCAGGCAAGCCAAGGCGAAAAGTGCAGAATGCCCAATGCTGTGCCATGTGCAAGCCAAACCTCGAAATCGTCGAGATGTCAAGTCGCCCGAAACGCCGTCACCATGTATAGCCCGCCCTCTTCCCAACGGATCCCCGTCCCGTCGCTCATCGCTGTCGTCGTCGCGTCTCTCAAATCTCAATCGTCTTCATCGGCTCCTCGATCACCATGGGCTTCTTGCCCTCGGCATGGCTTCGGGGCGGGGACTCGAGTATTGTCGGCTCGCTCGTGGGCGCGCCGCCGTTCGTCAGCGCTGCGAGTCTCGGCGCCGCCACGTTCTCCTTGTCCAGCTCTCCGCTCGGGCGGGGCGTGTCGACCTCGACCAGCTTCTCCCGGGGCTGGAGGTTGTTGGGAATCTTGAGCCCCAAGGTAGCCACCCCTTCCTCCGTCACCCGTGCCAGCGGACTCGGCTTTCCGTAACCAGGGCGGATCGGGCTGGGGATGGGTGAGATGTTGCTGAGGCGCTGCAGAGACCGGCCTCGGACTTCGCCTCCGTCCGTCGGGCTGGCGTAGGGGGACTGGGATCCCGTCGGCGAGACTGTGCCATTGGGCGCCATCGATCTCCTCTTGGCCGCTGTCCGTCCGTACTTCTGGTCCATCCTCCACCGCAAGATATTAAAGTAGGCCGGTTCGACGCGCGAGTTCTTGAACTCCCGCAGCTTGAGCTCGCCCGAGTCCTCCTCCACGAACCATCGCCCGCTGGCCAGATCGTCCGCCACGATGGCGAGGAAAGATGCCCACGAGCGGGCCACCACATACTTGGTGTCATAGTCGCGACCGAACAAGATGATCTGGCCCCAGACGCCTCGGGGTCCGGGCGCCAGATCCACCGCCAAGTTGTTGCCGCCCCAGTCACGGACCAGGGGAATCCACGCCGGATGTGCGTAGGCGCGTCTAATAGACGCAGGAGGTACGCAGTCCTGCTTGGCCATCAACTCTTGGCGCCAGTTGGAAGTGCGGGAGCTCGGGCTCGGACTCGCGGGCGTTCTCGAAGACGAGGCCTCGCTGCTGCTGCCCCCTTGGGCCTTTGGGGGAGGAGGCGGGGGCCTGGAGACGGCGACCTCGCTCAGAAACTCTTGGTTGACCTTCCTCCAGTTTTGCCACTCCTGGACAATCTCCTCGCAATCGAGCAGCATCGAGCCGAAGATGATACCAGTGGGGTTGCCGCCGCGCTCCTGTCCGTCGTGCACCTGCAGAGAATCCCTGACGTCTTGCGGAAGGGAACAATCCAGCATGTGCTCCAGCTCGTTCAGGTCGTTGGTCGTGCACCCCTCGCAGAGCTGGTCGTAGAGCTCTGGGTAGTTCTCCTCGGCCCAGGTGGTGATCTTGTGCCACGAGCTCTGGACCGACGGCGCGGGCGGCATGCCGTCCTGGAAGGACTGCAAGGGGATCACGCCGGCGGGGCTCTGCGTCTCGAAATCATCGCTCGAGCTTGGCTGCCGTTGGTTGAGGGAACGCATCCCCGGCGAATACGGCCGTCCACCCCCAGGGCTCATCGGCATTCCGTTTTGCGGCCCCGTCCCCGAACCGCCGTAGCCAGTGTCGAACATGGGCTGGCGCGCATTCTCGTCGTGGTAGTGGGCCATGCCAGCTCGCGATTCCGAGGCCGTGGCCACCGAAGTCAGGTCGCCATGCTGGCCAAGCGGAACGTGTCGCCCGGTTCGGTACGGTGAATCGTATGTGGAATCTGGCCATTCATCGTGTCAGCAATTGAAGTTGGCAGGACGGGATTTGGGAGAGGACTCACGTCTGTCATAGCTGGTCATGGTATGCCAGAAGGAGCGAAAGACGGATCCCAACCTGCAAAATAACCGCCCGTTAGCACGTGTGTACCCCGAGACGCCGCGGCGGCTCCGTGTCAGAGTGTTCAGGATGAACGAACCCGTTGGCGGCCATCTTGGGAAATCAATCGGCCCCCCGATGGCAGGTCGATGGTGTGATGGTACGTGGAAGAGGTTTCGCTAGATATGGGCGGTGTCGGGTCGGTCGTGGGGGAGGAGGAGGAGGGTTGTGGAGTCGGTCGGGGAAATCGTTGAACACGCGTGCCGGAAGCCGCTGGTGGACTGAGACAGCGTGGTGCGAGTTTCGAAATATCACGAGCTCGCCGAGCTGGTCGTCCCACGGGCTTGCTTCGTTCGGTTTGGGGTTCTCGTCGAGCTCGAGAGAGGAATAAAGGCAGTAATAACAGAAGAATGGCCCTCGTCGAGTTGATTGGCGGCCGTGTTTATGTTTGGGGGGTGCAGGTGAGAGGTGAGAGAATGTTGGCTGCTGCAAAGTGGCGTAGCCGCCTGGGTCAGTCCGGTGTGTCTGGGATGGAAAGAGGGTGGTGTCGGGCGGCAGGCTATGAGCAGTGCAGTGCAGCGACGAGACCAGAAACCAGAAGGCTGTCCTCCTTTTTTTTCTCTCGTCTCTGTTGCCCTGTTGCCCTGTTGCCCTGAAAAGGATGGGGTCGCTGCTGCAACGCGACGCCCGACCCCGAACACGGTGGGTAGTGGGTACGTACTGGTTTACCGGTGCGACGGCAGCTGACGGGACGCCTGAACCCTCACGTCATGTCAGGGCAGCGGAGGCTAAGGCAAGGTCGTCGTGGTCGGCGCAGCGACAGCGACAGCGACGCACAGCGGTGGAATCAGCGGGAGCGGGAGGAGGAAAGGGTCAACGAGCGACGCATCACGCAGGGCAACTGGCGATGATGTAAGGAGAGGAGGTTAGGTAAATTGT